GTTAGTGTTGTGTTACTACTGTTACTATTGTGTTTCTACTGTTACTGTTGTATTACTACTGCTACTGTTGTGTTGCTACTGTTACTGTTGTGCTACTACTGTTACTATTGTGTTTCTACTGTTACTGTTGTGTTACCATTGTTATTGTTGTGTTACTACTGCTACTGTTTTGTTGCTACTGTTACTGTTGTGTTACCATTGTTATTGTTGTGTTTCTACTGTTACTGTTGTGTTGCTACTGTTACTGTTGTGTTACCATTGTTATTGTTGTGTTACTACTGCTACTGTTGTGTTGCTACTGTTACTGTTGTGTTACCATTGTTATTGTTGTGTTACTACTGCTACTGTTGTGTTGCTACTGTTACTGTTGTGTTGCTACTGTTACTGTTGTGTTACCATTGTTATTGTTGTGTTGCTACTGTTACTGTTGTGTTGCTACTGTTACTGTTGTGTTACCATTGTTATTGTTGTGTTACTACTGCTACTGTTGTGTTGCTACTGTTACTGTTGTGTTACCATTGTTATTGTTGTGTTACTACTGTTACTATTGTGTTTCTACTGTTACTGTTGTGTTACCATTGTTATTGTTGTGTTACTACTGCTACTGTTGTGTTGCTACTGTTACTGTTGTGTTGCTACTGTTACTGTTGTGTTGCTACTATTACTATTGTGTTTCTACTGTTACTGTTGTGTTACCATTGTTATTGTTGTGTTACTACTGCTACTGTTGTGTTGCTACTGTTACTGTTTTGTTGCTACTGTTACTGTTGTGTTGCTACTGTTACTGTTGTGTTTCTACTGTTACTGTTGTGTTACCATTGTTATTGTTGTGTTACTACTGCTACTGTTGTGTTGCTACTGTTACTGTTGTGTTGCTACTATTACTATTGTGTTTCTACTGTTACTGTTGTGTTACCATTGTTATTGTTGTGTTACTACTGCTACTGTTGTGTTGCTACTGCTACTGTTGTGTTGCTACTGTTACTGTTGTGTTGCTACTGTTACTGTTGTGTTGCTACTGTTACTGTTGTGTTGCTACTGTTACTGTTGTGTTTCTACTGTTACTGTTGTGTTGCTACTGTTACTGTTGTGTTGCTACTGTTACTGTTGTGTTGCTACTGTTACTGTTGTGTTGCTACTGTTACTGTTGTGTTTCTACTGTTACTGTTGTGTTTCTACTGCTACTGTTGTGTTACTACTGCTACTGTTGTGTTGCTACTGTTACTGTTGTGTTGCTACTGTTACTGTTGTGTTGCTACTGTTACTGTTGTGTTTCTACTGTTACTGTTGTGTTACTACTGCTACTGTTGTGTTTCTACTGTTACTGTTGTGTTACTACTGTTACTGTTGTGTTTCTACTGTTACTGTTGTGTTGCTACTGTTACTGTTGTGTTACTACTGCTACTGTTGTGTTTCTACTGTTACTGTTGTGTTACTACTGTTACTGTTGTGTTTCTACTGTTACTGTTGTGTTACTACTGTTACTGTTGTGTTTCTACTGTTACTGTTGTGTTACTACTTTTATTGATGTATATACCCTCTGTGTCCATGTAGTCTTTGAAACAGCTTGATAAAGCTCCTGGAGAGCGAAACGTTGCAACAATAAAATGTCGCATTAGTTACACTTGTGTTCTTTTACCTAAGATATTGTGCTTAATTCTACCAACATTGTTACAAAATTATTATTATTAATTATTATTATTATTATATAATAATAATAATAATAATAATAATAATATTTATAATAATAATAATAATAATAATAATAATATAATAATTATTATTATTATTATTATTATTATTATTATTATATTATTATTATTATTATTATTATTATTATTATTATTATTATTATTATTATTATTATTATTATTATTATTATTATTATCATTATGATGATGACAGGTGGTGCAGCATGCGTTAAGACGCACCACCACTGAGTCACTGACAGAACATGTGAGGAACTTCGCAGCCAAACTTAACCAACAAGAGGAAGGCGCCGTGGTTCTATATGTTAGTGGTGAGGTGAGTACGTGGTTCTATATGTTAGTGGTGAGGTGAGTACGTGGTTCTATATGTTAGTTGTGAGGTGAGTACGTGGTTCTATATGTTAGTGGTGAGGTGAGTACGTGGTTCTATATGTTAGTTGTGAGTTGAGTACGTGGTTCTATATATTAGTGGTGAGGTGAGTACGTGGTTCTATATGTTAGTTGTGAGGTGAGTACGTGGTTCTATATGTTAGTTGTGAGTTGAGTACGTGGTTCTATATATTAGTGGTGAGGTGAGTACGTGGTTCTATATGTTAGTTGTGAGGTGAGTACGTGGTTCTATATGTTAGTTGTGAGTTGAGTACGTGGTTCTATATATTAGTGGTGAGGTGAGTACGTGGTTCTATATGTTAGTTGTGAGGTGAGTACGTGGTTCTATATATTAGTGGTGAGGTGAGTACGTGGTTCTATATGTTAGTTGTGAGGTGAGTACGTGGTTCTATATATTAGTGGTGAGGTGAGTACGTGGTTCTATATGTTAGTGGTGAGGTGAGTACGTGGTTCTATATGTTAGTGGTGAGGTGAGTACGTGGTTCTATATTTTAGTTTTGAGGTGAGTACGTGGTTCTATATGTTAGTGGTGAGGTGAGTACGTGGTTCTATATTTTAGTTTTGAGGTGATTACGTGGTTCTATGTTAGTGGTGAGGTGAGTACGTGGTTCTATATGTTAGTGGTTGAGGTGAGTACGTGGTTCTATATTTTAGTTTTGAGGTGAGTACGTGGTTCTAAATGTTAGTGGTGAGGTGAGTACGTGGTTCTATATTTTAGTTTTGAGGTGAGTACGTGGTTCTATATGTTAGTGGTGAGGTGAGTACGTGGTTCTATATGTTAGTGGTGAGGTGAGTACGTAGTTCTTTATATTAGTGGTGAGGTGAGTACGTGGTTCTATATTTTAGTTTTGAGGTGAGTACGTGGTTCTATATGTTAGTGGTGAGGTGAGTACGTGGTTCTATATATTAGTGGTGAGGTGAGTACGTGGTTCTATATATTAGTGGTGAGGTGAGTACGTGGTTCTATATGTTAGTTTTGAGGTTGAGTACGTGGTTCTATATGTTAATGGTGAGGTGAGTACGTGGTTCTATATGTTAGTGGTGAGGTGAGTACGTGGTTCTATATGTTAGTGGTGAGGTGAGTACGTGGTTCTATATGTTAGTGGTGAGGTGAGTACGTGGTTCTATATGTTAGTGGTGAGGTGAGTACGTGGTTCTATATATTAGTGGTGAGGTGAGTACGTGGTTCTATATGTTAGTTGTGAGGTGAGTACGTGGTTCTATATGTTAGTGGTGAGGTGAGTACGTGGTTCTATATGTTAGTTGTGAGGTGAGTACGTGGTTCTATATGTTAGTGGTGAGGTGAGTACGTGGTTCTATATATTAGTGGTGAGGTGAGTACGTGGTTCTATATGTTAGTTGTGAGGTGAGTACGTGGTTCTATATGTTAGTGGTGAGGTGAGTACGTGGTTCTATATATTAGTGGTGAGGTTAGTACGTGGTTCTATATGTTAGTTGTGAGGTGAGTACGTGGTTCTATATATTAGTGGTGAGGTGAGTACGTGGTTCTATATATTAGTGGTGAGGTGAGTACGTGGTTCTATATGTTAGTTGTGAGGTGAGTACGTGGTTCTATATGTTAGTTGTGAGGTGAGTACGTGGTTCTATATGTTAGTTGTGAGGTGAGTACGTGGTTCTATATATTAGTGGTGAGGTGAGTACGTGGTTCTATATGTTACTGGTCAAGTGTTCTTGTTCAGAGGTCAGGTGTTGTTCAGTGAAGAGGTGTTCTTGACAGAGCCAAGACGTGCCTAGCGTGCTCTCCCAACTTAGCTTACTCACACTGATGATAGCTGCGCTCAGCTACCACCAACTCTGTCTTCAGCTTAATGCAGAGTTAAGAGGCCAGTAAGTTCCCACGTCTTGTGTTCATTTATCCACTATAATCTACCTTGTACGTAATTGCTATCACATTTGCTTTGTCTGTTTCGTGTTGTCTGTTTTGTGTTGTCTGTTTCGTGTTGTCTGTTTTGTGTTGCAGAAATCTGAGCTCAGAACTCTACAACACAATTGTCCTCAAAGATTTGTTAAGATATACCATGAACATGTTATTAGAAGACGTGTTAACTTAGGTGCCTCTTAATGGAAGGTAGGAGAGGGAGGTTCAACAACTGGAAGTTACATTTAGGAAAGCCTAACTTTTTCCTAACCTTTTTCTAATACCTGAAACAAACTCTAAGGATTGATCTTTGATTCCTTCACAACCTTAAATTTGTTCTCTTTTGGCTTTCCCTATTCTGACTTTTTTTTTTTTTACTTTTCTCTTAAACTAAATTTTGTGTTTAATAAGGTGACTCCATCATCTTTTTGATTCGCCTATAAATGCCTCTTTTCTCACCCACCACTATCATGGCGGCATCATTCAAGTCAGAGCAAATCAATGATGTTTTTTGTCGACGATGAGATATATACTCTAGGTATACTCAAGGTATACCCCAGATATACTCAAGGTATACTCCAGGTATACTCAAGGTATGCTCCAGGTGGTAGTCCTGAAGGATGTTAAACTATACAGTTGATAGTTGGGCCTCAATTCTCCCAACACAACTAGGTGAATGTAAATGTATTTCGCCGCCAGTATACATTATGTTTTAAATATATATTAGCACATATGACGGCTTCTGTTAGAGTTTGACGTTTCTGTAGGTGCTGGTGACTCCTGAAGGACCTGCCCTGAGCCTACCCTCTGCCCACGCAGCGCCCACAAACGTCCTCCTTGATTCCTTGGTGCGTGCCCTCGCCTCCACACCTACACTCATACTTATTCTGGATGCTGTGAGCGTGAAAACTGATGAAGCAGCATCCCAGTCTGCTCTCACTAACCCCTACATCTACATTCTTCCTCCCCTCGCACACCCCAACATGGCTATGCTGGGAGGAGTCTCCTTGGAGCGCCTGCAGGTAGGTCATATATTCGCCTAATTGTGGTTGCAGGGGTCTATGACTGAAGAAATGCATACTAACATCCCTGTGACTCATATGAGTCTTCAACTTCCAATTGTGACACCTTGTTTGTTGTGTCCCATCTCTGAAACATTCTGTCCCCATCCACCTTGTCAATTCCTCTCAGTATTTTATATATTCGATATCATGTCATCCCTATCCCTCTTGTCGTCCAGTGTTGTCAGGTCGACTTCCCTTAACCTCTCTTCGTATCACATACCCCTTAGTTCCAGCAATAGTCTTGTTGCAAATCTTAGCACTTTCTCTAATTTCTTGATGTGCTTGACCTGGTGTGGGTTCCATCCTGGTGCTGCATACTCCAGTATGGGCCTGACGTACACGGTGCACAGAGTTTTGAACGATTCCTTATTAAAGTGTCGTCTATATGCTGCAGCAGTTATCTGGTTGATGTGCGCTTCAGGAGATGTGCTCGGTATTATACTCACCCCAAAATCTTTTTCCCTAAGTGAGGTTTCTCAGTCTTCGGTCCCCTAGCCTGTACTCTGTCTGCGGTCTTCTTTGACCTTCCCCAGTCTTCATGACTTTGCGCTTGGTAGGGTTAAACTCCAAGAGCCACTTGCTGAACCAGGCTTACAGCCTGTCCAGATTCCTTCGTAGTCCTGCCTGATCCTCTTCCGATTTAATTGTTCGCATTAGCTTCACATCATCTGCAAACAGGAACACTTCTGAGTCTATCCCTTCTGTCATGTCATTCACATATAGCAGAAATAGCATTGGTCCTGGGACTGGGTTAACAGTCACTAACTCTCTGGGTTTACAGTCAATAACTCTTTGGGTTAACGGTTACACTCTCTGGGTTAACAGTCACTAACTCTGGATTAACAGTCACTAACCCTGGGTTAACAGTCACTAACTCAAGGTTAACAGTGACTAACTCTCTGGGTTAGCAGTCGCTAACTCTCTGGGTTAACAGTCACTAACTCTCTGGGTTAGCAGTCGCTAACTCTCTGGGTTAACAGTCACTAACTCTCTGGGTTAACAATCACTAACACTCTGGGTTAACAGTCACTAACACTCTGGGTTAACAATCACTAATACTCTGGGTTAACAGTCACTAACACTCTGGGTTAACAATCACTAATACTCTGGGTTAACAGTCACTAACACTCTGGGTTAACAGTCACTAACACTCTGGGTTAACAGTCACTAACACTCTGGGTTAACAATCACTAATACTCTGGGTTAACAGTCACTAAGTCTCTGGATTAAGAATCCAACTAAAAAATTTTCCGCTAATTTTGTTGTCTGAAAGTCAAAAAGTTTGCTTTAGTTAATCATAAAAATCTACACATAAAATCATTTTCTATAACTAGAAGAGAAAATCGTTTTTTATATTATATTATTGATAAACTCAAGAAAATAGATTTTTTAGTTAGTTTATTTAAAGAGCGGAACACATAAGTACAATTATCCAATTATTATCTACCAATTATCCAATTATTAACCTGGATGTGTGACGTCAAAACACCGGGAAAATACCCTGGATAATTCAGGATAATCCAGGATAACCCAGGGTAGGGAGGGTTAACCACCCAGGATAACCCAGGGTAGGGAGGGTTAGCCACCCAGGATAACCCAGGGTAGGGAGGGTTAGCCACCCAGGATAACCCAGGGTAGGAAGGGTTAGCTACTCAGGATAACCCAGGGTAGGGAGGGTTAACCACCCAGGATAACCCAGGGTAGGGAGGGTTAACCAACCAGGATAACCCAGGGTAGGGAGGGTTAGCCACACAGGATAACCCAGGGTAGGGAGGGTTAACCACCCAGGATAACCCAGGGTAGGGAGGGTTAACCCCCAGGATAACCCAGGGTAGGGATGGTTAAATACCCAGGATAACCCAGGGTAGGGAGGGTTAACCACCCAGGATAACCCAGGGTAGGGAGGGTTAACCACCCAGGATAACCCAGGGTAGGGAGGGTTAGCCACCCAGGATAACCAGGGTGGGAGAGTTAGCCACCCAGGATAACCCCGGGTAGGGGGGGGTTAGCCACGCAGGATTTAAACCCCGGATGGGAGGGTTAGCCACCCAGGATAACCCAGGGTTTGGGAGGGGTTAGCCACCAGGATAACCCAGGGTAGGGGAAAGGGTTAACCACCCAGGATAACCCAGGGTAGGGAGGGTTAGCCACCCAGGATAACCCAGGGTAGGGAGGGTTAGCTACCCAGGATAACCCAGGGTAGGGAGAGTTAGCCACCCAGGATAACCCAGGGTAGGGAGGGTTAGCCACGCAGGATAACCCAGGGTAGGGAGGGTTATCCACCCAGGATAACCTAGGGTAGGGAGGGTTAGCCACCCAGGATAACCCAGGGTAGGGAGGGTTAGCCACCCAGGATAACCCAGGGTAGGGAGGGTTAGCACCCAGGATAACCCAGGGTAGGGAGGGTTAGCTACCCAGTGGATCATCGAGGACTGTCTGTCTTTTTTCCATTTCGATCCTTAAATCCTTTCACCCAGGATGCCACCCACATCAGTCACCTAACACCTAGGCATCTACTTACTGTTAGGTGAACAGCGACAGTAGGTAGAAAGTGACTAACACCCAAGTATCTACTTACTGTTAGGTAAACAGGGACAGCAAGTGTAAGGTGACTAACATCAAGGTACCTACTTACCGCTAGGTGAACAGGAACCGCAAGTGTAAGGAAACGTGCTGAACGTTTCCCCCGTCCCGGAGATTGAACCCCGGGGACCTCAGTGCTGATTAAGTCATGGGAAATTAAAATTTTTTTTAAAAATATCTGGAAATCAACATTATTATTTCCTGTCAGTCATGTGTAATAAAATCACTGAAATTTTATGAAAAATTTCTGCGGTTTTTAAGGCGCTATATAGATTTTTTGGGTATAGTACTTTTATTCCCTGCGGGTTGTTGGATCACGATGTTTTTCCCTTTCGGGGTTTTGGGGGGGCCAGGGAGGTGCTACTGGTGTGCCCCTCCCCACTACACCAGAGGTCAACCCGCCTTACCCACGCCCCCCGGGGATCAACCCCCCCTCCCCCAGCAACCTTTCTCCAACATGTCACACGACGGGCCTTCTGAGTGCTAAACCGCACACCGCCCCAGATTTTGTTTCATGTTAGTAGTCACGGGTACGCTAGCCCCGTTGGAACAGAAAAAACTTGGGAAAAAAAAAGGAAAAACAGATTTGAACCAAGATAAGGAAAGATGCCTCCAGTTTTTTTGAATAAAGAATCTGTAAAGGGCACTTGTCTTAAAGGGCAGTTTTTTGGGGTTTTTTGGATTGGGCCCCTTTTTTTCTTGTCTTAAAGGCCCAGTTTTGGGCTTTTTGAAGGCACTTGTCTTGAAGGCACTCGTTTGAAGGCATCTGTCTTGAAGGCACTCTGTCTTGAAGGATCTGTCTTAAAGGATCTGTTTGGCAGTCTGTTTTGGGAAAGGATTGTCTTGAAGGCAGTCTGTCTTGAGGGCATCTGTCTTAAAGGCAGTTGTTTTAAAGGCAGTCTGTCTTAAAGGCATCTGTCTTGAAGGAAAGTCTGTCTTGAGGGCGTCGTCTTAAAGGCATCTGTTTGAAGCAGTCTGTTTTAAAAGGCAGTCTGTCTTGAAGGCAGTCGTCTTGAAGGCATCTGCTTGAAGGCACTCTGTTTTAAAGGCATCTGTTTGAAGGCAGTCTGTCTTGAGGCGTCTGTTTAAAGGCCTCGTCTTGAAGGCATCTGTTTGAAGGCATCTGTTTAAAGGCAGTCTGTTTTGAAGGCAGTCTGTTTGAAGGCATCTGTCTTGAAGGGCGTCTGTCTTGAAGGGAGTCTGTCTTAAAGGCAGTTGTTTTAAGGAGTCTGTCTTGAAGGCAGTCTGTCTTGAAGGCATCTGTCTTGAAGCAGTCTGTCTTGAAGCAGTCTGTCTTAAGGGGCAGTCTTTTCTTGAAGGCAGTCTGTCTTGAGGCATCTGTCTTTGTGCAGTCTGTTTGAAGGCAGTCTGTCTTAAAGGCAGTCTGTCTTGAGGCAGTCTGTCTTGAGGGCCGTCTTAAAAGGAGTCTTTGTCTTGAAGGCAGTCTGTCTTAAGGCAGTCTTCTTGAAGGGAAAGTCTGTCAAAAAGGCAGTCTGTCTTAAAGAAAGTCTTTTTTGAAGGCAGTCTGTTTTGAAGGCAGTCTTTCTTTGAAGGCAGCTGTCTTAAAGGCGTCTGTTTAAAGGCAGTCTGTCTTGAAGGCAGTCTGTCTTAAAGGGCCCCGTTGTCTTGAGGCAGTTGTCTTAAAGGGGCCTTTTGAAGGCAGTCTTAAAGGCGACTGTCTTAAAGGCAGTCTGTCTTAAAGGGGAGTGTTCCGGCCGTACTTCGGTGTTGTAGAAACTTTGTGTGGAAAAATTTGTCTGCATTCCTGGGCAGTATGCTAGCTGTGTTAAGTGCTGGGGGTTTGGGAAATTAACGAGTAGTGCAATATTGGTAACTCTCGAGAGACGTGGCCCGGTGAATGACCTTGGAAAAACTCACTGCGACCGGGCCCCTCCCCCATTGCCTGTGTTTTTGCGAGGTGAATATCCTTCCTTGTCCCTTCTATTCACCCGGGATCCCTTTTGCCCATCGCCGTGTGAAAATCCTGTCGCTTGGTATAGCTGATGGTGTTTCGTAGATGATGGTGAAGGCAGATTTGAAACATTTTTAGTAAACAGGCTCGGAAAAAAGAAGGGCTTCCCGGAAAGCTTTCCCGAAAGCAATAATGGGCGACACCCCCCCAAACTGTCGGTTAGATTTCCCCCTTTAAAAAACCCAACAAACTTTTTTCAAGGGGAAACCAATTTTAAAAAAAACGGTTTTTTTTCCCGGTAGGGTTAAAACAAATCGGAAAGTTTAAAGTTTTATGAAAAACTACCCCTTTTCCCTAATGATGCCCCAAAGGGGCAAATTTTTTTTCATTTTAAAACTAACAACATTAAACCCCAAACGGGCCCAAAACCAAAGGGAAACCCTAAAGGTTCTTATTGTATTCC